AAAAGTAGGCTGAAAAATAATTACTCAAGTACAGATACCCCAAAATTCTACTTAAGTACTGTAGCAAAGTATTTGTACTTAGTTACTTTACAACTCYGAYCATYTTATGATGATCTWATTATTGGACTGTGCCATTTTAGCTGATTACTTGTTTAYTGCTGTAACTGGGAAGGAGAGTAACACAATTYCAATTCTCTGTATGTTTTGCACATASGAAGCATTGACAATAAAACTACTTGAATTTGAAATAAGTTAAAGCAGTATTACACATAATCAAAGCATGTGAATCGCACAATATTTATTATATACATTTCTACAGAAATGCTGGGTTTTTAAATGTTTAATTTCTAGAGGTATTGTTCTGCTGGGAAACCGATTTTGTGTTATTAGTGATTATTTTCTCTGCACAATAAAATAGATTAATAGGGGTCATCTAAAAGTGCTGATTTCATCCATTATTACCAGTTGTTATCCTCATTTGAATAAAAAAAATTACATACTGAATTATCTCMTTTTAAATCCATACAGTGTGTTTACACATGCAGCTGATTCAGAGTAGCATTATGGGTGCAGAGGTCACTTGTAATTTATGTTCATTAAAACAGTTTACTCTGTTTAATGGGTTAAAGCCATAACGTGATGTAAAGGTTTGAATTCATGAAATTAAYGTTCAATCTGTGTTCTTCTGTTTCCTGTCAATATTGTGTTCAACATTTCTTTTGATGAGCTAAACCATCATTTAACAACAAGGTCAATGAAACACTGTTTCATCCTACTCTGGAAAGTTAATTTCCTATCCTTTTTTTTTTTTTTTTTTTTTTTTTTTGCAATGCTGTTACTCCCACTTTACTTTTATTACAAAAGCAAAAACATCTGTAAATGCAGCTGCTGTTTTTTTTTAATGGTTTTCAAGCTGGAAATTCCCAATATGTGATTTTTTTTCTGCTTTATTCATTGTAAGAAAAGCATGACCGATGTTTACCTATTTGTCTTAAATGACAGTTAAATTACCTCCATAATTAGGATAAACATCACAATTGGTTTGCAATAAAACCTAAAAATAATTGACTAAACTAAATATAAAGAAAGACATTGAGAGATGATTTTGATGATATTTCAAACTGTAGGTTTACCTTTTAAACCACTAGCATGTCCCAGTTTCTATCTGCTGTCTGGGAATCAGTAAAAATTCGCTAACATTTCAGAAACTAACATGTTCTCTAACTAGTTGCATTTTCTGATGGGGTGCAGACCAGAGTTTATGCACAAAAAAACATACATTTATTGAAAAATGCAAATGCAAATCATTTCTCTGATTCAAAAAAAAAAAATCTTGCATTAAATCCTGTTGCTGTCATTTTATTCAGGATACACAACTTTATTCCAACTAATTTTGCTGTAGKGGACAACATACATTAGGCTTGCTTAAATATTAAAACTCTGTGTGTTTGTGTGTGTGTGGGGGGGGGGGGCAGTTTGGCTTCATGTCTACCTACGCCCCTGTTTCAAACACCTGTTTTCTTCTTTTTCTCACTCTCATTAGCATTTTTTTTCCTTTGGAACTAGCTCTCCATCTGGTTGTGACTAATTGCTGGAGAGGTGTGACAGTCGGGGTTCATCTTTTAAGAAGTCTGCACATAATTCACCGACAGATGATTTTTTTTTCCTGCAGTCATTAAAATGATGCAGAGATTTTGTAAGTATTTAAGTTCTGCGCCTTTTATCAGGAAAAAAACAGCAAATTTGAAAACATCACACACAGAACTGACTGTTGAAGCGTTTCACAGGGAACCTTTCTGTGTTTTAAACTGTCCTCGAGTGTTGAGTACATGTGCGCTTACGCGGATGAGTCACAGCGGTGGAGGCCATGAACATGACCGGCAGCCCGATAGCCGAGGAGAGAATCCAGTTGCACACGTTGACAATCTTGGCGTTGCGCGGCGTCCTGAAATCCAGCGCCTTGACGGGGTGGCAGACGGCGACGTAGCGGTCGATGCTCATGGTGGTGAGGGTGAAGATGGAGGTGAACATGTTGTAGTAGTCGATGGACATCACCATCTTGCACAGGACGTCGCCAAAGGGCCAGGTGCCCATCAGATAGTTGACACTCTGGAACGGAAGCGTGCTGGTGACCAARGTRTCTGCMAGMGCCAGGTTGAAGATGTAGATGTTGGTAGCTGTCTTCATTTTAGTGTATCTAAGTAGAAAACACAGAGGGGTTATAAAAAAGCTCTGAGCCTTTCGAGGTGCATACACAAAACCACACACAGAATTTTTAGTAAAGGCACAGTGTGGAGGATTTTGTCAATTCTTTCAGCAGAAATTGAGATAATCACTAATGACAATAATAAAAAACATGTCTAATCATTGCAGACAAAGACCTTGTTTTATTATTTTTACCTTATACAGTAAAAAGCTGTTTATATCTCTATGGTCGCAGGTCGCCACACAGGCAGCTGCCATCTTGTCTACGAAGGCTCATGAAGGACAAACTGCGGTGGCGGCGTCAAAAACGGGTTTTAGTTGTAATACTATAAACGTAATATTTGTTGTCTGTCATTGTAGCTGGGATAATTTTACTTATTAAAGCTCATAATCTTACCACTTGAAACATCACTAGCCCTGAAGCTGCTGGTAGACATCGCGGTTGGAATTATCAAAGGTTTTTGACACCTGAGAGACACCGTAGCAACTCCTTTGTGTTTGGAAGCGGGGGGTGGGGGTGGGGGGAGGACCAGGGAGGATGATTCAACCACTCAACCACTAGATGTCGCTGAAAACAACAAATCCTACACACTGTGCCTTTAAATGGTATTGCAGTATACAGTATTCTAGACCACATGCATCAAACTCAAGGCCMACGGGCCAAATGTGGCCAGCGGGTGACAGTCAAATGGCCTGCCAAAGACCCCAAAAATTAATTGATACTTAATTTAATAYGAAAATAGTTTTTAGAATAATAGTAAACTTTAAATTTATAATTACATGCAACAAAATAAACAAACAAAGCAGTTTAAAAGATGAAAGATAAAAATGCTTGTCCCGCCCCTAAGCTGTTGGCTTTAAGTAACTGTGTCCCCCTGARCAATTTTGTTGAATACTGCTGTATTAACGTCTCAAAATAAGCTGATTTAAAGCCRGVATTGACCATAAACTACATCTCACATAATGCATGCTGATTATCCTTTCTGGCCAGAAAGTGGGAAACTCAAACAGAACTCAAAACATCAGCAACTAACCACAACTCAACAGTGAGTAAAACTCTGGCTTTTAATTTTATTAGTATTTCTGCATTATTTATTTCACATTAAGTCCGTTGTACATGTAGTACTTTTCAGTGTTTATAAGAGGACATGTTAAACTTTGTTTCTATTCAGGAAATACTACATAGAGCTCAGTTATTGTTTGTTGGCTGTGCTCAGCCTTAGCAGTGAGACAAGGAATGAGACGTTTCATGTTTAGTCAAAGTTAAACACAAAACGTCAAAGTAGATTACAACTGGCCCTTTGAGGGCCAATATGACACTCATGTGGCCCTCGGTGAAAATGAGTTTGACACCCCTGTTATAGACTCTCTACCACCATAACCACAAGCAGGAAATGTATGATGGTGATAAAAAAATAATAAGTTTGTTCCTATATTGAACTCATTCAGGGTTCTTGAGTCCAAGACAGCACTGGAGATAGTCCTATGGGTCCTAGGTGGAAACTACAGTRGCATAGAGTTCAGACCCACATAGCAAAATTKGTCYGACCCAGTTCTGGYCAACAAAATGCACTTGSCCCAGATATCATAAAGATTGACGGCCCTTTAATAGTCCAGATATGGTTTGCCAGAGGTGAGCCAWGCATGGGCCAGCACTGCATAAACCAAATCACTWCTATGCCATCATTGCCAGACCTGGCCAACATCTGGTTGACAAAACACTTGCCATGCGTGGAGTCAGCCAGCAGTGCCAGCCTGACACCAGRCTTGGCTCACACCAGTCTGCTCTGTGGGGAACCTCTGAACATAGCTCCAAAGATTAGGATGGATCCAGCTTCAAGATGTCCTTATAAATGGTGTCCAGAATGGTTCTATTAGACCAGTTTGTTTGGAATTAGGGCTTCGTGATTTCTGATAGTCTGGCCTAATCCTATAACAACCTCAGAATTTGTGTTTACAGGCAAAGTGGAAATTTCTTCGTCCACTCTGAAAATCAAATGTTTCTGATAAATAGACAAATAACAATCTAGACGTGATATAAAACTTCTCTTTGCAGAAAAAAAATGTTGCACAGATTTTGAGGACAAACTGAAATTGTAATGCTCCCTCTATATCTGAGTCAAGTCTTGCAAGRATGAGCTTCCTGATAAGAGATCACAGGTTGCCCAAAGGCACTTACTCTGGGGATTTTGCTATCGTCCCTTGTGTATTGCCTCAGGGGACACGTTTTCATTTGGTTTGCAGCAGAGTGAAAAGCAAACACCACAAAATCTTACATGCACAACAAAAACCACTTGATGTGTTTTTGGTGAGAACTGGTCTTGAAGCTCTGCTTTCTTTGTAGTTCTGTTGCAACGTTATACAAACTGTTAGATTATATGACTTATTCAGACTCTCCATTTACTCATATTTTAATGGCTTRGTTTAAAAAGCTTATGAGAGGCTAWTGTTCTTGAGGTTCTAAAGTAAAACTCAAAGAAATGTGTTCCTTCAAAGTGCTTGTAGAGCATTATGAGTAACATTCAACACCACATTCATTCATGCTGATGTTTGTAATATAATAAGAGCTAATCCTGTAAATGACGCATGGAAGAGAGCGTAATTATATTATTTTATAAAAATCACATTCAGCTTCTGAAACAATGTGAAGAGTGAAAGCAAAGAAGCAAGAGTGGCTTTTTGAAGCACTAAAAGCCACTCAGCTTAAAGGTGCAAAAGCCTATTACCCATCATGTTGACTGAAATCAAGATTTTCAGTCAAACTAAATCTCCTCGTTCTGCTGTAGCGTCATTGTTCGAAGCAGTTTAAAGCTGGTCTTTTGGACACTCAAATGTCCCTGACATCAACGAGGAGAACTGGAGGGAGAAAGGATACATTTAAAAGAGAACAGGRACTGTGGAGTGTTTATAAAAAACAGAAGAAACAATGTGCATCCATCAGCTCAGAGAGCAGAGGACGAAACGCAGACGTCTGAAATGGCTTGAATGTTTAGAGCTCATGTCAGAAAAGACATATAGGATGTTTAKGACTTACTAGGTTCAGATTGGAGCTTGTCCCAAAAAAGTCAAGCTATTTCCAAACCCTAGTAAGACATTAAAAACAACCACCACTGACAGATTTAGCTGTGATGATGAGCATTAAAAGGAGGTATAAAATAATTAAACGCTTTTCTCTTAGATGTGGGAAGAAAAAAAATCTCCCTCTGTAGCTTGAGACCTTTGAATGGTGAGGCCAGACTGATAATTAAATAAACCTTGTTTGTTTTATAATAATGATTGCCATATATTTAATGCTCTGCGGTGTGATAATTTTGTTTGAGAACTGTTGCATAAAGAGCTCAAAAGATGAAGCTTTTCTTTAACAAAAAATGATTCATTACTGACAATAAAATTCACTTAAATTATACAGACGCATTTTGAATTACTGTGAATCTTTTTAAATGGCGGTGTAAGTTAACCTCAGAAACTCTTGGTGGAACTGATTTTTACGGGCTCTTTATAAAAAATGCGCCTGGTAATAAATTTGATGAAATAAACCGGTCTCATGCAGGAATTCCTGCGGCAGTGCCGCAAGGGTTGAAATAAGTGTCACAAAAAATATGAAAATAAACAAATGAATAAACGAAGCAGCATTTGTTTAGCTTTTATTTCATTAAATTCTATCTTTTATGTATCTCCTTGATATCCTGAGATGGTTTTGCCATTTGAATATTTGGAGGTTTTGCTCAACTTGAGGATTTTTGTCTTTTTTTATTTCGACAGCTCATTAGGACACAGCTCATGAAAGGCCAATTTCATGTATTTCATTATTTTTACTATTATTATTTTCATTTTCTTATCCTTGGTAATCTTCCATCCATCCATCCATCCATCCATCCATCCATCCATCCATCCATCCATCCATCCATCCATTTTCTTCCGCCTATCCGGGGTCGGGTCGCGGG